GGGGATGGCCTGGCAAGCGAGCCACTCAGAACGGCGCGCATGGGGAGGAGAAGGATAGCGCTTGAGCAGTAGGCTGGTCGGACGCTTGTATTCGCCTATCTTTAAACGTTAATATCTCGTTAAATATTGCGTCAACTGCAAAATGGTACAAAACTGTTTTGTTCCCCTTGATCCAATCTACGTCCCCATTGTGTTTCGATCCGTTTTTTTGAGACACCCTGTATATATACATTCCATATACTTTCCCTTCCTTTCTATAATCATTCAATAAGGAATGAATTACCTTGAACTGCGGATTTTGAAGGACAGTAAATTGTTCCCATAGGGAAACTCAAAAGTGCTGCTAAAGATGAAACCGACACAATATGACCATGATTCTTTTCGATCATACTAGGTAAGAATGCTTTCAATGTCTGAAAGTTATATTATTTTGTAAACAGAAATTTGCGAAAGCTTAATAATATACTGGTCTAAACCGTTTAGTACATTTTGTTTACAAATATAGTAAGCTGATACAATATATCCGTTTCCAAAAATAAAGTCAATTATATTAACGATTACTTCTTATCTCTTGTAATATCAATATCTCTTGATTTATATTACTTGCCCAATAATGCGCCGTCACATTGACGTCTATGACTCGTGCAATTTCATCAGGACTTTGATTCAGAAATGATTTAATAAACACTATGCCAGCATTGTTAATCAAGATAGTAACGTCACCTACTTCTTCTTTTACTTTTTTAGCTACTCTGAAAACTTCTTCTCTGTCTGCTACATTACATCTGTAAAACACACAGATTTTTTAATTAGAATTGCTAACTCACCTAAATCAACGAGGAATTCAGTAAATGAGACAGTCAAGTATTCCTCATTGAAATCAAGAAATCATCTGAAATCGAACAAAAAAACATCGTTGTATGCTCGGTCGCGCATCTCAAACTTTTGTCGGAAAACAAATAAAATCACTTTGCAATCACGTTGAAATAACCATGAATACAACCCAGTAAACACCATTCCGTAACATTTACGTAGTCATTACGGAACGATGTCTTACTGTTTTGTAACAGTTAAATTATTTTCAGATCAAAATGTCAGCATATTTTAATTATATTTCTCGCAACAAAGTCGGAAAAAGAGAGGAACATACACATAACAGTTACGAAGTTTTTAGTATAGTTTTAAAGGACCGGGAAAGAACCCAATTTTTCCAATTTTTCCGTGGATTTTTTCGGTTTTTTTTCCTAAGGATAGAAAAATTCATTTTGGAAAAATTCACGCGTGCTCGTAAAACCACGTTTGTTTCTCAGTTCTTTCCATAAAGAAAATAATTGCGTATAGGATGCACAGCGGGATAAGTTAACAGAAATTTTAAAATTGTATAAAAGATGATTGAGGTCGCATATAATGCATTCAATAAAACATACAAAACATACAGTATTGTACCATTAACATAGGTGCCGACTGCGGGGGGGCAGACCACTTTTTGCCCCCCCCCCCTCCCCAATAATTTTATTGGAGGGAGGGGAGTAATGCCCCCTCAATAATTTTTACCTTTTGGTTTTTTAACAAACAGTGTTTTAACAATTGCAAATAATTTCTGCGATCAAAACATTCTGTGAGAAAACATCAGTCACATGACATATGTTATACATAACGTTGATGCGGCGAATTAAAAGTGGTGATGCTCGCGCTGGCACATGATCTGTTGTCCCAGGGTACCTTCCAACAAGAGATGGTGTAATGACACAGTGTGACACAATGTATCATTACATTCTTGTTGTTCGTCAATGTTAAACAAGGATGAGATGATTATTGTGTTGTACCGATTATGAGTCGCTTGTTGAGGCGTGTTTTGATTTCCATTAGAGTACTTCTCTGATGTCATTTCATCCTTGTTTAACGTTTGTTAAACAACAAGGATGACATGATACCCGGGGAGCAGTCCGGGACCCATCCCAGGTGGGAATCCGAACATGCCCCTGGAAGGAACCCCTAATGTACCTGCACATATATATATGTATATATATACATATATATATGTCCGTATCAAAAAGTAACTAGATACGGATATAAGTATCTCCGCCTATAAGGATCTAGGTAATGCGCTTAGGTACAGCTAAAGTATCTAGATACTGTATCTAGATACTTTTACCTAGATACGTTCCAACACTGTGTATATATATATATATATATATATATA